ATTCAGTTTCCGGCTTTTAATTTTTCTAGCATTACTTCTAACATCTCTTTCCCAACAGCCTTCAGTTACATGTCACCACTGATAGCCACACACTACCAGCTTGTCCCAGCATTGAGCAGTTGAGAACTGCACCAAAGTCATCACATATCCTAAGTCAAACCCAATTTCTCAGCACTAGCAATAGACCCAGCTCAAAGATACTCAGACAATTGTAAGTATTACCCATAACCACTTCTCTGGAAATCCTGGCACTATACCACACATCACAACATAAAGCAGTTCAGTAGTCACCAGTCTCCTGGTTTTTAAATATAAATAAAGTCATCAAAAAGCAGACAGCTCAGCAATGGCTTGTAATGATTTTACTGTATCTAGATCAATCCCTCTGGAATGAGAGACAAGCAGTCTTCCAAAATCCTCTGTATCACAGGTTTTTCCCCAAGTCTGTCACACACCAAACCCAGCTTTTAAGTCTTCCAGGAGTGAAATAATAAATGTTTATTCCAAGATTCCTACAAAATGTAACACTGACTGGCATGAGGGCTAGATTTCTCCTCCACCTCCCATAATGCAGATACTCTCCTGCAGGGGAAGAAGGTAAATATATAGTTCCATAGCTATACTTCCTATATGCACTTCTCCCTCAAGCTACTTACTACAAATAAAACTCTTAAAAAAAAAAAAAAAAAGCACAGGTTTTATTTAATGTATTACATGCCTCCTGCATTAATGCATTCAAATGCCTCTTGTTCATTCTTTACAGAGGTCTACTTTTTTCCAACTACACCCTTCCCTTAAACTCTTCAAATTCTTTAACACACAAGTTCTGTTTCAGAGACTGATGTCCTTTAAACCAAGACATTTTTCATGACAACATCCCACAGAGGGAGTAGCCTTTAGGGGTGGAGGAGGGATGGGGAAGGGAGACTAACAAGAGACTGAGAGCAAGCACATTACAGAATTAAGTAATAACTTGGCAAAACTCCCTTCCCTTTCACACACTTTCATTTCAAACACACAAAAGTCATTCCATGAATGAAATAAATGAAATCTGGCTTCTGAAGAGCTGGAGACTCAGAACATAGTAAGAGTAGATGACTATTAAGGATTTTGCTGAGGTGAGAGTATTCATAACACCTCCAATCAGATTCTCCTCTATTACCAAGAACTTGCATTCGAGCTTTTCCATCAGAAGATATTCTTATCTCTATCCCTCAGAAAGCTCACATGCTTTTTTACCAAGCATCTAGGTGTCTAGTGTTGGCCAATTTCAAAGTTAGTAGGTGATCAATATTAGGTATACAAGCAGGCACAATCACGTTATCCTAATTTCTCAAGGACAGTGGTCTTAAAAGAAAGGTGCTCTTGATACTGGACAAAATTAGCACTATGATACAGCTAAACAACAGCAATACCTCATAAGAAGCAATAATCACAGCAATTCATATTGATTTTGAGTCTAAAATTATTCCATTTTGATTTCATTAGATATTAATGTATCTAGTGTGCATATATATATATAAAGTTATTAGAAAAACCACTAACAGTAGAATGACAAGAACCCACAGCTCGAGACTGAATGACAGTAATTTAGAAATAAATCATAAGAGCAAGCAGTTATGCAAAGGAACAGGTTACCAGCCTTGCAATGAGGTTAGTCACATCATCAACACTGCCGTCATTCCAACAAATACGCTGCATTCAGCCACATGTTACTGGCCTTGATCACATTCATTTAAGTGAAAAGGAAAATAGTTCCATCATTGTAAGACAGAGATGACACTTGTTACACTAACAGTCCAAAGACATCAAGCCAATCCTGCATAGTTGGAAGTTATTAATCTAAATGTTGACAAACTACTGGAGCACAAATAAAATGTTCACTCAAGGGCCAAATGTTTGTTTATAGATGATTCTTTGCATGTAGCATTACTCTTCAGAGGCGTTTATCTTCTATCTTGGTATCCAGAGTAGCTCACCAGCCTGACAGAATGAAACAGATGATTTCTGTGCCACAATCTACACTAGGAGAATGAATTTGAGGTTGCTCTGAAAAGGAGGGCAGCTCTTTTTTTTGTTGTTTTTTCCTTCTTGTTTTTTTTACAGTTTTCCCTCTTCAGAGAGAAGGTAACAACATTTAAAGACACAAGGAGAAGATGCTTTACTCTCTCCCACTCATGTAAACTAATTGTGAAAACAGTAAAGAGCAGCCTCCCTCCGCAGTCATGACATTTCAAGATAGACAGAGCCAATCCACAAAATACCAAAGCCACTGAAAATTTTCCTGCTGATTCCAGTAGGTACCAGACTAAGACCATGTTCCAGTGCCCACAATGTGACCAGTGTGACAAAAGGCAAAAAAGCACACTATTACTTTGCTGCTTTAAATTAAGGACTAGACAAAAAGTGGTCTGTATCTTAGTCTTTTATTTCACATGAGTCTCTGGAAGATGTCATCTTAGGAAGGTAAACAGGCTACCAGTGAATATAAATGAATTAGCTCCAGAGTTCTCATGGACTGAAGCAGAGACCACCAGTATCTACAGAAGAGTTTTTTCATTCAATATTCAATCTAAACAACACAACAGCAGACAAACAAGTGACAATTCCTACACTACTCAAGCTCCACTTCACAGGCCAACCTCCCTCCAGGAGAGGGAAAACACATGATGGGAAGAGATATGCAGCATCTTTAGGCACCATAAGAGGAGTATCCTTTTATTAACTGTACAGGGAGAACATGCTGCTTCTTAAATGCAGTCTGTTTCAATAGTTGACTACATCATTTCCCATAATAGGAGACCTACAAATTTGAAGTAAAACACTGTTTGGACAACTACCTCCTCTCTCTCTCTGTCTCATCTGATATTCCCACTTACTGTCATCATAACTCTCTTCCTAACTGCATCCCTGGTATAGCAATACTGCATATACTAGTCAGAAGACTACATCCTTTCCTGTGACAGTATGGTCTTAGTAGTGGTTTTCAGGATAGCCTTTTGAGACCAAAAACTGTGCCCACTCCTGCTCACAGAGTCTGTCTCCCTTAGAAGTTTGTGTCATTACAATCAGCTATGCTGTTGTTAATAAAGTCTGGTTTATCTTCCGATTTGAAGGATGTTTGAAAAGAAAGGAATTAAGTGATACATGGTACAGCCCATTCTGATTCACACTAGGCTAGATAATCACCACAGACTGTTGTGTTGAGTTTGAAGAGATAACAAGGACAACATAAAATCTCAGAACACTTTTATTTCTTAGAATAAATGTTATCTAAAACTATGGAACCAATTGATGCTAGTATCACATCAAGCTCTTCCCTATTTACAGGAGATAGAAGAAAATTCTTTTGTGTACCCTTCCCACTAGCCTTCTCTTATTGCCTCTGCAGTAGCTCACATCAACAACCTGCCAGATTCCATTAAAAACATACTCAGAAGATTATTCTTTCTCCCAACCTCCTGAATTTAAATACAAATTTGCTCAAGCTGTCTCCTGTTCAAAAGAAAGCCAGGTTTAAAGAAAATATATACAGCCTGTAGCTAAATAATCCTGGGTAAGGGAAAGGGACAGTAAAAACTGCCATCTTCGTAAGACAGCATTTTTAACAGATGGTTCCAAACTCTGTATCAAATTTAATACAAGGTACTTACTGGGTAGGTTATAGCAAAGATATAGCACTGCAGCCTTCAGAGAAAAGTACTAGACAAAAACAGACGGATTTGTAAAACAAGAATTCAGAGTCCACCAACCATGTATTTGCAGAATGTAACTCTTAGGGAGGAACCAAGTTCTACCAGTGTTACAAGAGAAACACAATAGTCAGAACCACTGCGTGATCTGACAAGAGCTCCTGAAAACAGAGTCTGACCCCAGGACCTTCACGCCAGAACTGAGAGGGGTCAAGCCAAGTTACCGCTCTCTGAAACACTCATCAGAAAAGCACAAAACATATTTATATTTAAATTTATATATATTCAGTTTCTCTCTCTCTCTATATATATATATATAAACTGAATAGGAGCAGAGGGGTGTGAAACTCAGTGTGATCTGTTTAGAAAGAGATGAAGTCTGATTTGGTCTAGAACCAAGTACATCATAATTTATTTATTCTAGAATCTGGCATTACACAGCAGTTATCACAGTGTAATCAGCCAAGAATTTAAGCTTACAGCATGCAACGAAGAAGGAAGCAGAAATGCCAGAAGTGCAACATCAACACATGAAAATACTACCACTTTCATCAAGCTATGGTGGTGCCAAAGGGAAGCACAAGGCAATCACTGACTGCAGTATGCCAGGTCATCACACCAAGACCTACACCTCTTCCTGCATAAACCTGCTCTGACCTGGACCTCTCAAAGCCTACCATAAGTGAAAGCAAGCACAAATTGTGAGCAACGTATTTTAGAAACTAACACATAATCATATCACAGATAGGTCAGGAGCCCAAACTGATTACACTGAATAATCAAGTATGACTTTTACCAATACAGCCAACTGCTATGTGGTGTTGTTCAGCTACTTTTATTTCATAAGAAGAATATCTTTCAGTTTACATATCCATCAAGAAGCCAATGCAGCAGCACTTCACACAGGATGTTCTCTCAAGAGTGATGTATTTTCACTAATATATTTCACTAAGTACAGGCTTACAATTACGAGAATTACCATGAGTAAAGTTCTATAAAGTATTTTCCCTGCATGCAATACTTCTCTGCACTGAATGCTTTTAAACAACCACTTTTTATAAAACATTCAGTTTTATTAGATTTAAAAAAAAACCCAAAACCCAACAACAAAATTCAAGCATCCCATTCAGAGCTTCGACCAACAGATTCATCTGAAAGTCATTCGGAAAATGAAAACACATTCAAACAATATGCACGTATTAACACATATGCACACTGTAACATTACTACCTATGGGTTTCTTTTAGCACTTAGTAAGAAATACTAGTCACACCTGGCCTACATAAAGTACAAAGATATTTAACCTACCTCATCAAAGCTGCTATCTTCTTTCTTCAAGGCTTTAAAATAAAAGGAAAAAAAGACATAGTTATCTGTACTGCGTTTCAATGTGCATGAAGTAACTAGCACCATAAAAAAAAACAGAGCAGTATTTTTCTGTTATAATAGGAAAGAACAGGCTGGCATGAATAACAATTTTAAACTCAAAATCTGAATCTGTAAATTGAATGTAGGATTGCACAGTGTGTTTCCAAGAAAGTAAATTTACATATTTATGAAAAATATTATCCTCTCAGGTTAAAGAAATAAGAGATCACAAAGGTTTTTTATTATGATTTTAATTCCTAGTGAGCATGAATTCACTTTACAGAGAGCCTGAGTGAACTACAAAAAGGAAAGGTATAATAAACAGCCAACCATGTATTCAGCTTGTCAAGTACTAAACTTTTATGAAATAGTATGCATTGTAGCGTGCTTTTTTCTTTTTATTTTTTTGTCTTCCCATTTTTTCTTTTCTACAATATGACTTACACTAAAGCAGAAGAGATTTTTTACTTTTTTACACTGTTAACTAGCAATTAGTCAACAAACAAGAAAGAGGAAAACAGTGCAGAAATCACGTGAAGTGGAAAAGCAAGAAAATAAAGATATGAGTAATTCTGAAGCAAAGATTAAGCTGATGAATATGCTTCCTTTAGCACACTGGGTACCTTTATTGAAATGTAAAGAAAATTAGTTTATCCAAATCTCCACTGAAGTGTGTCAGACTGGCTCTTTTTCTCTGTACACCACAGCCAGACCAATGAGGGAGTGTACTGCACACCATGACCTAAAAGTGCTCTTTATTTACTTCTCATGAAGAGCTAAAATAAGACAAACCATTGCATCGATGATTGCACTGTTTCTATTGAGTTTAAATCATGAAGGTTTGCAATTTGAAGGAGGTCATCTGAATGATGCAGTGCTGCCCCAGAAGGCTCCCTCTTCATCAGTTAAGCAGTGTAATGTTTCCTAAAACACATTTATTTCTGCAGGAGATAAATACTTAAGCACCTAGCACAGCTGAGCACTGAGACTCTAGTAGTTTATTTTCTCTCTCAGATACTTCTGCCTTCAAAAAGTGCTGCACGTCCACAACCTCTGCCACTGGTAGCAAGGAACAAATCCTGGCTCTCCATATGCAGAGAAGTAGGGCTGGTTCAGCCTTCCTTTGCTTTCAAATTCCCATTTCTTTGGAACACGAAACATGTCTTCCCTCAAATTTTTGAGCATTACTGTTTTATAAATCCTCATCTAGATTTCCTGCTCAGCAACAAAACTACAAACCTTGGGATTCTGATGAGGAGATCTGAGGCACACATTGTACGTTTTCATCATGAACTGTATTTTGACGGATTTGAAAGCCAGGCAAAACATTCTCAAACTGCTAATCCCAAGAACCCAGAATTATGAGTCCGGACATTCAAAAAAATACATGAAGTTAAATGAAATGAAATAGAATGGAAATGAAAGTAAATGAGAAAGACAGAAAGACAACCTGTGGAACCCTTTTTAAGAACACACATTTAATCTTTTCCTTTACCTTTCAGTTCACAGCGACATACATGCTAATAAATTAGTATATGACACACCATGGGCATGCTGACAAGCTTTTCTCCCTTACCAAATCACAAGATTTTCACATGACTGAAACATTCCAGGCACAGCCAAACAACAGATAACCAAACAAAATTTACAGTGTAACAAACAACAAGAAACAGGTATCTGTGATCTATTGTGTATTTTTGGCTTGTCATTACTATAACTCCTACCTTTGACTGAAAAAGGGGGGTTTTAGGAATCTCCAAAAATAAGAATATGAGAGTTCTGGCCACTAAACATCAGATTACGTTTACTAATAATTTCACTCTGAACTAATTCACTACATAGCATCTTCTAAAGAAATCATCAAAGCAGCATATTTTATACAACAAATTGTATTATAAACATTTTTTCTCATCAAAGCAATCCTTTTGCTCTTAAACAGTTAAAAAAAAAAAGCTTTGCTGAACTTTAAAAAAAAAATAAACTATTTACAAATGAGCTTCTCATTATCTCAGGTATGCAAGCTATGTGAGTGTACATTAGAGGAGATGAGTGGAGATAACCTTTGTATTAGTGAGGAGCTAGTAACAAAGACCAGGGATGCTCAGAAGGGCCACAGACTGATTTCAGTGCACTGTGAGTAATCTCAGCAATGTTTTCTCTCTCTTTCTTTCTTTCCTCCCTTCTTTCCTTCATTCCTACCTTGGTGTTAGTTTTTGATTGGAGAATGCATAAGAATGCAGAAGTTATATGGTGACGTGAGCCAAAGAGATCTCAAGTATGATTTTGGTACTTTATGAACTTCAACAGATGCATGGCCAAGAACATCTTACATAACTAAATAATGATAATTTTATAAAATTACTTATTATTAATTTTAATTACATAATTATCAAAGTGTAACGCTAAGAACCAAACCTAATAAAGGTTTAAATACTCAAATAAACAGTGAGCCAACCAAATCTCTAAAACTTGGTTAACATACAGGCTGATGTGTTCATTTAAACGGACAACACAGCATGTAAGCATGGAAATCATAATTTTTAAAACTAATTTTGAAGTTTGTATAAAAACGGATAGGCTGCCAGAAACCTATCAATAAAAAGGATTCTGTACATTTTTCAGATTCTTAGTGATAAAAGTTCTTTATGATGAGCTAAATTTTAAAAGATACGCTCTTTGAAACACCAGAAACCTTCTGCAAGGGGAAAGGGTGCCTTAGCTGCAAAGATAGATCATTTTTCTAGAACCATGAGCATATAACTTCTGCAGTAAAAAGCAACCCTGTCTATTATATAAACTTCAGTTTAACACCATAGGCCATATGCATTTCCTCCAACACACCACGGTGCCATATCATCCTTTACGAGAACTGCAAATAGCACAAAGCAAATGCCCAGGACAAAGGGTCAGGGATGGATAGTTTCCCATGGCACATCTTTCACCTTAGCAAAATAAATTATTTCCAGTAGTAGGTACTCCAACAGACAGATCACAATTTTGCAGGATGAGCCAGGTCTTCATCATCCTCTGACAGTCATTGGAAGCATCAGTTCACAGTTAAGAAAATGGGTCAAGTCTACTTGAGGCTGCTGTTAGCACCCTATGGCCCTCTCCTGTGCCCGAGAGATAACTAGCTGGTTTTACCTGAAGATGCTGGGGAAATAGGTGCAAACATGACCTAACATACTGTGGCACACTGTAAGATAAATAAATCACCCTATATATTCATTGCTGATATAGCCTCTCAAATAGAGAGGATTGCTTTGTGGGGAGAAGGTGGCCTCAAAGGTAGTTTACTGAGTGTCAGCCTGCAAACCCTAGCAAAAACAACAGCAACTGCCAATGACAGTTAGGATTCATTTCCACCATTCTTACCCAAGAGGCTAACATAAATGTTCGCATCAAAATAAAGGAGTCTTGCAGTATTAGAAGAATCGTATTTGGCAGCTGGAATACTGCTAAGATGGGGGGAGGCCTAGTAGTGCCTGAACATTTCAAGAAGGACCATCAGATATTCCCCAGTGAAGGTTTGACTAGCTAATTATTCGATTTGAACACCATGTTGCTCTTGCACCATTTATACGATTATGCTCATAATGCTGCATTGTGTGCTTAAACTTACGAAACACATGAATCACAGCAAAATGGGAAAAGTTAAAAGATCATCATTGTTATTTATAAATCACAACTCAGCAGATAACTGACAAAATTCCAGATTAGATACATATTAAATTAGTAATTTGCAGATCTCACCAAGGAACCTGCTCTTCCAAAAAGAGCTTTAAAACCAGAATGACAAATACCCAGAAACACTTTTACTAATGAGGTTTCAGTTTCCTCTCCTTCATTTCAGTATGAGTTAAATACAGCATGTGTTTTAACTGAGGATTTCCTGGTATGCAAGTTAAAAGTTTCTTGCTTTGCTTGGCCTTATCTGTGGCTCAGGTATCAGGGAGTGGACTATGTTCAAACCTCACACTGATAAATTAGAGGGTTTTTTGCTCAAAGTGCAATTACCAGAATGATGGTACAAATATTAGACTACCTAATATGAACAGTCCTACTGGTAGCAGCTGAGTTTTAATCACAAAACAACAACCACAAACAAACAAACCAGGCACCCAACCATACTCCTACACTTCTGTGCACATGCACAAAGAACTGGAGGAGCTGGAAAGACCTAACAATCTATGTGCCTAAAATGAGGCCAAAGCTCCCAAGGAAATTAAACGGTTGTTTAATTTATGAAAAATGACAAAAAGAGATGATCATCCAACAGAGCCAACTAAAATGTGCAGCAATTACCAGCCAGAGGGGCCTTGATCCCTAACAGGCACTAAAGGGGCTGTCATGGTTGCAACAAAGCAGCATCCTCGTTCAAAATATTTTCTTTGTTAATGACTTCTACCATTAGTAAAACCTTTGCACAGGCTTGTGTGTCTGTGTCTACACACACACACAGACATGTGACAGACCAAACACCTGACTGCTTTTTCTTTCTTCCTAATCAAAAGAAGTTAAATGCATTTTACAAGTTCAAGATTGATGATAGGTGCACGCTATTCTCATATGGGGACAGACAGATTCATAACCATGACTTGACATTCACTTTACAATTGAAACTTGGCATTTATCCTTGAAACTCCCTGGTTTACACATCGGAAGGAACTTTTCTCAGAGTTTTCAAATCTTGAAGTAGGGCAGTAAAGGATACCTGATTTCCAACGTTATCCTACACTTCAATTTGCAGTCCTTGAAAGCTAACGGGCATACACTGAATGCACACAACACATAAAAAATTGTAATGCCCACTACTTTAAGGCACCTCCTTGGTAGGGCTGTGGAGGGAGGATGAAATAACACACAGCCCGCGGCTGCAGCACGGGCACTTCACATCCTCGCACTGGGACAAAGCAGCTCGGAAAGCTGACCCACATCCGCCAAGCAGCACGGACTGTAAGGGAAAACGTCCCAGTGGGAAGACGGATGGGCGAGGGCTGTGGAAGGGCCCTCACGGAGGGCCTGCGGGGTCCCGGGCTGCTGGTCCCGCTCCCGACGTTCCAGCACTGCTGCCAGCCCTCTGGAACCTCACATCTCTGAGGCACCTTCTCCCCTGCTCAGCAGCGTGTTGGTGCTGTCAGTGGGACTTCACGCTTTAAATAGTAAATTAAGCGGCACAGTGTGCCAGAGACAAGACAGACACCAGTCCGAGCAGACCAGAACTCTCTGCCATTGTTCTCAGCAGCAAATTCAACTGCAGAATAAACTGGTGTCAAAACCAAATGCAACGCGGCGATACAGGGACACAACCCGCCCGGCAGCAGTGTGCAGGTATCACTCCCTCCCGTGCCGTGTATCTACCAGTGGAAGAAGGTCCGACTCCGCAGCTGATGACAGACAGACAGACCTCTTTTGTCTGGCCGCCCAAAGCGCTGGGCCGCCGTTATCTGCTCCAGCATCTCATGCCCCAACTTAACATAACGCGCAGGCCGAACAAAAATAAATTACCAGACCTGCAAAGAAACGCAAATAACCGCTGCTTTTTGCCAGGGTGTCTCCTTGGCACTGGAGGCACGCGAGCCAACTCTCATTTCCAGTTTGTTTTCTATAGCCTATTTTGGGCTAACTTCATCGCAGCCGGTACAGCGCTGCCTGGTCTGCACAAGCACTGCCTGGAAAAAGCTTTTCTTTCCCCGAGATTTCGTCCCTGTAAATGTTTCTTTTAGGGGCCGGGGCGGGTGTCTCCAGCCTTGCAGCTCTCAGTACACCGCCCCGCCGCTGCCGGGACAGCCCTCCCCGGGAGCCCGGCAGCGCCGCCGGGGTCCCAGTCCGAGTCCGGGTCCGGGTGCGGGACTCACCTATTCGGCCGAAGCTCTCCGATAAAGTTCTCCGCAACTTTTTCATCCTGCTGATCTTCTCGGCGGACTGCGAGTCGATCATGTCACACATGGGGGGGGCGAACCCCCCTTCTCGCCAGCCGCCACCCCACTCCCCTGGCTCCGGGGGAGACACCCCTCGCACCAGTGCCGGGGCTCTCCCCGTATCCCGGGGAGCCGCCGGGCACAGCGGGAGAGCCCTGGTCCCTCCCGGGGAAGAAGCCCTACGCCACGGCAGAGGCTCTGGCTGCGGCGCCGGCGGCCGCGGTGGCTGCTGTTGCTCTGCTGCCCGCCACCACCGCCCCGCTCATAGCCCCGTCCCGCCCGCCTTGCCCCAGACTGCCCCGCGGAGCCCGACGCGACGGGGAGGGTACGGGGCGGGGGGCGGTGGAAGCAGCGCCGAGGACAGATAGAGGAGTGAAAGAAAAGTCCGGCGAGAGGCTGCGGGTACCGGCGGAGGGAGGAAAGGGAGGAGGGTGCGCTAGAGAAAGGAGGAGGAGGAGCCTGGGAGGGCCGGGTTGCCCCGCGCAGCAGCCGTGGGGGGAGGCGGCCGGCCCAGCCCGCGCTGGCGGGCGGTGGAGCGGGTCCCGCGGGCCCCGCCACCCCCTCAGCCCCCGTTTCCCCGCCCTTCCCCGGGTGTCTGCCGGGGTGAGGCGGGCAGGAGCAGCAGAAGCAGCAGCGAGGAGAGGCAGGGGCGCTGGGGCCGGGCCGGAGGCCGCGGGCTGTCTCCGGGCGCGTCCCGAGCGTGTGGCGGTACTCGCCGGGAGCTGTTAGGACGATACACCCGGGAGCGGCTCTTGCGGTACCACGGGCACACCGTGTCCACGCAGGGGGACGGTGCCCTACGCTACTGCATCGCGGTCTCATGGGGATGCGCTTCGTTATCCCCCGAGCCGGCAGAAGTCACAGCGTCCGGCGGCGGCGTTAGGGCCCCCTGCTCTCCCTTGTACCGCGGCTTGTGAAGGCCAGTGCAAGCTGTGTGGGTTTGGTGATGGAAGAAGGCGCCTCCCGGCCCGGTTTCTGGGTGGGATTGCACCCCGGTAGCTGTGGGGAGGATGGTGGGCAAAGGGCACCTTGCCGTAGGTACGCACCCAGCCCTTCAAGTTGGAACTTGGGCTCCACTCCACTCACATCTCAAAGCACAGCCAGATAATACGCCTTAGAGTGCATTAGCCTGCATCTTAATGAGTGTTGGGAGCTTTTGATCTTGTTAACTCAATTGAACCAACATTATTGAAAAATAAATCAGTTTAACCCATCAAGATGGATGACCGTGTCTAGTCTGAAAGTAGGTACTTTTCGAGAGCAATCTATGTTAGGTAGCACATTTTAAAGTCCAGCTCTGTGTGGTTCAAATTGTATTTCAATGCATGCTATCTAGTTAAAATGAACTTGGGTTTTAATGAGGCTCGCTAACGCAATTTATTGGGATCAGTCGGTGTCCAAGCTAAGAGTTGTTAACTCAATTTTAGAAGCACATTTGTCTGGACATGTGTTGAGGTGAGCTGGGTTCAAGCCATCTGCAACTCTAAGCTCCGAGTTTGAACCTTTCTGCTACAATGCAGGAGGGGTGGCAAGTATGTAGCATCTCAAGGTGGAAATCTATTATCTACTATAATCTACTGTATCATGGAATCATAGAATGGTTTCAGTTGGAAAGGTCCTTATGCATGTTTCTTGTGACATTCAAGGTAGTGGGGAATGGTACAATAAACGCTGGTAAAATGTCTTATGCACAACCCCTGAATCTACAGACAGTGCGATAAAAAAGGCTTTCAGAAGCATGAATCACGTTGACCCTGTTAGCATCTTTGAAATAGGAGCTAAAATGGCATTTTTCATGTTGGCTATATCATACCATGGAAGGAAATTGAGATAGGGTGGGAAGTGAAATGTTGCAGAGAGCAATGCAGGGGAAAAGAGGAAAAATAAAAATTACAAAGAAACAGACAAGGGGCTGGAAGGAGAAAGGGAGGAAGGACACAACCGCTTAAGGATATTTTATTCAGTCACTGCAAAAAAATGACATTTAAGTCCTTAATAATAATTGATAGTTTGATCTTTGTTTAAAATCTGACATTACTGTTGGTGAGCAATCCTGTTCTCAGTGGAGAGGGAAATGCCACCATCATAAGTAAAATATTCTGGTCCAGGAGCTGAAACTGAGTTGAGCATTTGAGCCCTTTGCACTTTCTGTGCATGCCATTCATGCCACGCAGCCCTGATGCCTGACTGAGACTTGTACTGACACAGCTATAATTCATTCTGCAGCTTGCTTTCAGCAATTAGGGTTATCATTTCTGAGCGCTTCTGAGGAACCTGTAATTAACTATGCTCAACTGATAAGATGTTGTCTTACCTAGTGAATTAGTCTAGGTGCTAGCACCTAGTGAGTTTGGAACAATATTCCTGTTTTTTCCCCCCTATTTCTAGATACACTGTGACTTCATCACTTGTGGAGGTCAAGCCTCTGCCAGGCTGCCAGAGTGGGTTCAGCTTTCTTTGGCAGAAGGACAGGCAACCTAGCATTTCTGACAAGCATCTGGCTTTGTAGCTGCTTGGGACTGATCTACAAGCGTATGTCAGGGTCTTTTAAATCAGTGAAAACTTTGCCTAAATTCATCATCACTGTGGTGCCAGTGAGAGAAACCCAGGCCTCATCTTCTGAAAACTATACAACATCCATGTGACAAAGATGTTACACAGACTTCCCTTAAGAGGAAGGATGAGCTTGAAGCTGTGCACAGATCCTCAAGCCACACACTGCAATTTTGTTATTCTGCCCTCGGTGGTCTTTACTTGACATAAATATTTATGTTAAAGTCCTTTTTGTTCTCTTCCCCACCCAAACCTCTTCTGTTTCCAAGGGCACTAGTGTTGAAAATTCATTACATTCAGGAATGTGGAATCACTTTTGCAGCTTTGATTAAGCTCATAAGCTAGCGGTTCTTATTTTTCTTCTCTGTGTTTCCATCACCCATCTCAGGAAACCAGTAAAGCAGAAACACGCAATTAGCAAACCACAGAGATAGCAGCTATTCTGATGCTGACACTTGACTTCCTTGTAGGGGCAGGTTTTCAGTTCTGTTTTTATATTTTAGTCTTGTAATTTGTGGTATTAAAAAAAGAAAAAAAGGAAACGATGAAAAACATGCTCAATGAGATTGCTGTTTGCTGGCTTCTTCCACAAGCCTCTACCAAAAAGCACGTTTTTATTTAATGGGGCATCTGGATTATAAAAAGCCAGCCACTTTATTTACAGCATCCTTTCTGACATCAACTCCCTAAAGGTACACCCTAAGTAAAAACCTCCTTGCTGTTACTTCATGACCCCAGCATCTCCTTGCCTTGCTTTGGTGCAAATTCACTACAAATCCTGACCTCTGCTGCTGCCACTGAGTCATGCTGAATCACTCTGCAAATATAAGTATTATCAAGTGCAGGAAAAATATTTGGCAAGGTATCACTTGCAAGTTGGACAACAAGGAAACATTTGCCTCCATGCCAAAGAGTTTCATCATTTAGATGTTACTTACTGAGGTGTGGGTTGGCTTTGTTATTTCTCAAGAAAGGGAGACAGCGGAGCTGGCAGTTTGTTCATTATTGTGTAAAAGAACATACTGTTTGAGGCTATAAGCAGTGTGGTCATGGGCCTAGAGCACAGGGTGTGCCAGCAGCCTCCTTGCTGCAGATGGAGCAGCCACGGTTACCCTATTCATTATTTGCAGGGTAAGATGAGATGACAAAAAAAAATCCCCATGATGTGTGGTGCAGATGGTGGCTCAGGGTGTGATGGGGAGCTCTGCACTCTCCAGGTCTCAGGGCACTTGCTGTTGATTTTACAGAGTGATTTTATATGGTCTCAGCTCTCGCTAACCCCAGTGTTTGTCTCCCCCCCCCACCTCAACATTTTTCCTTAGGGGCTCTTGAAAGGCAGCGCACTTAAATTACATTCCTGGGCCAAGAGTATGAATTTCAGAAACCTTAGGAGCACATAAACAAGCAGTGTGTGTTTGTGGAAGAGGTAGCTAATGCTGTTGATTTGGAGTCTTTTGGGGGCAGAGTAAGCCCTTGCCTCAAATGGCTTGCCCAAGGAGAGCAGCAAGGCTCTCTGCAGGCACGAAACAAGTTGCATAGCTTCTCCGGGGAGAGCACAGTCTTGCCAGGCCTTCTGCTGCCAATATAATGTAGGTCTTCATAAATCTCACTGGCTAGAGAGGTTCTCTGTTAGGCCAGCCTGCTCACCTTGAAAAGATGCAGCATACTCTCTGCTGCAGCATCTGGGACCCAAGTGCTGGGAGCTGTGTTGCTTGTTAACACAGCAATCCTTTTGTGACCCTCCAGTGATGAAGATGGATGTAAAGCCACATCACACTCCCCCTCCTCTCACTACCCCCACAATCTCACTTTCATTTGTCCTCTACTAATATTCAATCCAAGATGACTGTTACCCAAAGAGAAAGCCAGGCTCTGCTAACAAACGGTGCTGTATCCTAAGGGACATGACCTTTAAGCTGTACTAGCAAAATGCATTAGTGACAAAAATTAAACTTTGGCAATAACAGAATAGCACCTGTGTAATCTACCTCCACATCATAACTTGATCCCCCAAAAAGCTCTCAGAGCTGACGTATCATGTATTGCCTTATTGGTCACTGTTATTAAATCCCAGGTTTTATGAAATGTGGAGATTTCCCCTGTTGACATTCTGTGCATCCCTGCTGATGAATGGAGGGCAAACAGGCTCAGATGTTGCTTCTCCAGCCTGGCAGCCGTGCCATATAGGTAGGTGCCATGGGGTAGGAAGGGATAAGTTAGGGCTCACACACATGGTTCCAAAGGTGTGATGGGAAGAGCTTGGTTTTCCTGGTGCCCTATGGCCAGCTGCTGGTTAGAGGTGACCTGATGAACAACACGTGGTTGTACATCTCTAGTACCCTCTCATGGTCACTTTATTCCACGTACTAACGTGGGGGCACTTGTTTGTTGTTTTGTTCCTTTTACCATCACATCGGGGATGAAATGGCTACAGGTGGAACATGGCATCTTTAACTTTGATGCTTGTAGTTCCTGTCCCTGGTAGGCAGCTTCCTTGTGGCAAATGCAAATACAAATACACTTTCATTTCTAGGGAAGTACAAACTCTTTCTCATTTGGCCATGATACAGAGTTGTGGTTAACCCCACTAGATAGCTGAGTACTGCACAGCTGCTGGTTCACATCCCCCACCCTGAGAACAGAAGAGAAAAGGAACAGCAAACAGAAAA